AAACAAACTGCACAAAACAAAGTGTCCAGCTGGCTCCTCTTCCTGGCTTTATAAAGGTACATCAGCTATGATCTGTAATTTGCAGATAATGTTTTGAAATGGTTTCTTTGCATCGTGTACAGCTGACACAGTAGACCTCACTGTATTTCGCCTTGCCCAGGAAGTCACGGCTGGATGTTTTGTAATGTTACAGTACTACACAGTTCAGTGCGAATATGGCAGCAAACTGATCTCCTTCCACAATTCTGGTTAAATGTTTTTCTTAGCCTCCAAGATCCCCTTCTCTATGAGATTAGCCATTGATTCGTCACCTCCTAGGCCATGTCACGTACACACCATACATAGTCATTATGGATCTGTGACTCAAAAAGAAAACTCCATTCAAGTCTTTTATTTGTTCGATAATGACAAGTTCTGTAGGTTTGTTCCAAGGAACACACACAACTGTGTAGCGTCAGTCAGGCCAGCTTTTATAAACATCATTCAGGATCCCCGCTGCCCCGCCCCCCGAAGAAGCTTGCCTGGCAGAGTTGGATAAAACTTATGGGCTGGTATCATAATATAAACAGTGAACATAAACAGAAGATTGTGTATTCGAAGCCAGGACCACTGCGTTGGACCTTTCTACAGCAAAGTGATAATATGGAACTAGTTTGCTTATTTACAACCGCACAGTGTAAATATATCAGTAATGTAAAGGAAAATTACACCCGCTGCTGGCAGTAACAGTCCATCGAGATATTTTTACCTGCCCTTGTGAATATTTCCAAGGCCTGCCTTGTGTCTGGTTGGATTCCTCCTGCCTGTCACCAGGAGAGATTACATATTCTACTTTAAAATTGTTAATTATTCATTTTCCTTGATTATTAGTCAAGTAAATGAAGGAATGGTTGATCTTAGTGAAATAAAAAAGCTATACTTTTGTGAAAGGTCTACATCTCATCATCAATAATAATTATTATTATAGGATCACAGTGTGAAAATGTTTAATCTATCCTAAATAAGTCTGAAAAATATGAAAAATGAGCATGAAGAATATAGTTACATTTTTTCAATATAGGCAGTCCATTAGTTAAGAACGCCTGACTTACGGACAGCTCGTACTTACGAACACATTGCCGTAAAGCCTATTACATTAAAAATTCGGGTTAAATACAATGGTTTGTAATAACGAACTCGACCACTAATTTGTGACGCTCGTGAAAACATTGCATGGCTTCAGCGGTTCATCGGCTTAAAGTACAGTACAGTTCCGTATGTAGTATACTTTCTTATTACTGTATAATTATTGTTATGTACTGTGTTATTATTTTTCTCAATTACCTACAAATTTGACTTAAAGACAGACTTAGGTAATGGAACTCGTTCGTAACCAGGGGACTGTCTGTACTTTACTTCTATATGTCGCGCATGGCAGCTGGGTGGTTCAGCAAATAGCGCAGTCGTCTCGAGGGGTTTGTAGGTCTGGGTTTACAGCTATCAGCCTTTGGTTCTCTGTGTGTTTATATGTATGGTGTTTTACGTTCTCTTAGTGTTTATGTGGGTTTCCTCCCATAGTCCAAAACATATAATTATGTTAAGTGTTGACTTAAAATGATCGGTATTGTGTGTCTGCCCTGCAATAGACAGACATCCCGTTATCTCATTATCACAGTCCTGCACCTAAGTGTTTATGCAAGATGGGCGGACTTAGTTGGGCCAGTTAGACTATTTCACTAGTTTTTTCAGTTCAGGTTCATCCAGCTAATTATGTACCAAGGTTCTGATAAGGAGTAGGACAACACTTGGCTTCAGCACAGCTTCAGTCTTTCTTGGAATGCTGTCATTATAGTTTTGAACTATGTGTAGAAAGATATTTTTAAGACCCTTTTTCAAAAAAAAGCCTCAAGTTCTTCAAGGGATAATGGAAGTCGACTTTGCACTCTGCATTCCAGAACTTTCCATAAGGGTTCTATGTTTGGGTATGATGATTGGGTAAGTCGTGGAAGACACCACTCTTGAATTCATTTAGCAGTTTGTACGAGGGCATTATTATCGTGGAATATGGGCATGTTCTGTGGAAACAGTGTACACACCACAGGGTGTAAATGGTCCTGGAAATTGGCTTCATATTCCTTGGCTGCTATATGACCATGCGGAGCAATCACTGCACCTAATGACTCAATTCAGTTCAATTTATTTTTATATAGCGCCTTTCACAATAGAGTGGCCCCAAGGCGCTTTGTGTGTTGTAATACATTCCTGCATCATTCATACAGAATAAAACAAAAACAGGGAAAAGGGCAGACAAAGAAAGAATGAATGAAAGAAAGAAAGCCAGATGACAATGGAGGAAAGGAATCAAAAGAAACCTCTGGGGGTCTGAGGTTAAATGGCTGAGCCCAACCCCCCTCCCCCCCACCAGCTCAGGCATGCTAACATTAAGGAGAAATAATGAGTGGGCTTGCTCACTAAAAGCAAGGTGTAGTCTGTGATGAAGGGCAAAGCCAAAGTCCATCAATGAGTCAGATCTCCATGCCGGTCTGTGTAGGGTGGCAGATTGAAGGCTGCACCTACGATGTTACAGTTCGTAAGTAACATCCACAGTGTCACCCCTCCATGGGACTGAACCAGAACTCCAGCTCAGATGGTGCCCACCCAGGGCTCCACACGGACATGTGGGAAGGAAGGCAGAGAGCATGGGTGGTCAGAACATGCATTAATGGACAAGCATAGCAGATAAAACTGGCATGTACAGCAGCGCCTGCAGCCACGGTTACGGTGTGTTACGTGTTAAGTTGCAGGTAAGCAAGGCTAGGTCTACAGTCAAGATTTAAAGAATGAGACTAATTCAGTAACGCAAACATGAGCTAGCAAACTGTTGCACAGTATAGTGGCCTCCCATGAGATGACTGTACATACCATCAGAAACTGGGATCTGAAGACATCATAAGACTTTCTCCAAATGTTAACCTGCCCAGATACAGGGAAAAGCATGCAAGGTCCATCAGACCATATTACCTTTTTAAGTGCTCAGTGGTCCAGTCTTTGTGTTTCCTACACCAGGTCATGTAGCTTGTGCATCTGGCCTTCGATACAAATGTTTTACAAATGGTGACCCTCAGTGAAGCTCATGATGTATGGATATTGTTGAGTCCTGGCCACAGAGGTGCAGCTTGAGTTCTGTGGGTATTTCGGAGGTCCTCTCTTCTTTAGCACCTGACCTGTTGTGGCTACCCGTCCCTCTTGCTGAGTAGGACTTGTGACCACTGTCCTACTTTGTCAGTTCAGTTTGTTTACGTTTGATTTTTGAGGCTGTTCCCCTCAACACATTAAATAACTTTGCAGTTTTGGCGATCGATGCACCTGTAAGTCATTTTCTGACTAATCTCATCTCTTTTGACCTCTATTAGTTGCCACATAATGTTGTGAAAACTCACATTTCAAAGTACAGATTATCCACGCTCTTTTACAACTGACACATACTGGCATTTAAACCTAGTAAATCTCACCTCTGTAGCTACATGCGTAATTGCAATTGTGTTGCAGTGTCTGTAATTTAGTCCATATATCTGCATTTTTGTTCCTGTTCATACAAGTTACTATAACACTTATGGTTTAACGTTTTCATTTTTGGTTAATTTATTCATTGAGAATTCTCAAAACAAGATGTTAAAATAGCATAACCCCCTTTACAGTAGGTGCCAGAACAAAGCTTAGGAAACTGTCAGTAGGAACAGAATCAAAATCATTAATTACTTATAATATTTTTGCTATTGTAATTATACAATCAAATCCTAATATCAAAGACACAGGTTGGAATAAAGATCAGGTGAAGGACCACCCAGTGTAGTGCGGCTGAAGCTGAGATGGTGCTCGGTTGATGGCTTTGTGTAGTTTTATGGGTAAATGGGGAGCTGCACTCTGGTGGCTTTGTACCATGCTTGATCTCACAGCATGGTCATTGTTACCTATGTAGTGCATCTAGCACCATCAGTCCACATAAAAGAACTCATGACTGACTAAAGTTTAAAAGTGCTGGTTTTCTGTAGGGTTTGGGCTCCCCCAACCCCCCTCACCCATCTGGGTCTCATTTATTTCCTCCTCAGTTTCTGGGTTCAGCTGAGGTAACGTTTTAGGAAACAAACCACTGTGATTTCCTCGCGGAGTTTCTCCTCTGGACTGTGCTTTTCTAACACATTTGAGGACCACTGAACCTCTCCCGATGCCACAGACAGTGGGATCACATTAACGGTGCCTTGCTAAGCCTTGTGGGCTGTTCTGGAGAACAGTGATCTGAGGTCACTGCATCTGAATAATTGAGCGAGGCTCAATGCATTAGCACATGTAGCAAAGCTAATATGCGACAAACAACCTCAGATGAAAAACATTTGCATTATCGACGTAAATACTTTTTATATGTATAAAGTCACACATTGTGCTAGGATTAGACTTTTTTGAGGTTACTAAAGATTATAATCTTTATTGGAGTGATTGGAGTGTACTGAGAACATTAGAAGCCAGGTTCACTGCCCCAGTCTGAGGGTCACTTAAACATTTTTTGCACTCATTAAATTATTAATCTACTGTAGACGTACTATCAGCCAACTCACGTTTCCTTTACCCTCCTCTCTCAAGTCTTATTTCAGCCCTTTCAGCCATATTTCTTGAAGTCTGCATTTTTCAAAGTGATGTTAGACATATGAATACCAAATGAGAAAAAAGAAAATGCTAGGTAAAATGTAGTCAAAAAAAGGCACAGCCATTGATTCAGGGAGCTCAGATCATAGTACTGATTGTGTAGTCAAGCATAACCATTTAAATTTAATCTACAGAAACTGAGGAGCAAATTCATGGTGTAAAAGGAACACCTGTGAATGTACAGCAACATTACATTTCCGCCGGGTGCTGGATGCTCCGTTGGTGTATTTCTGAGCTCCTGTTATAGGTATTGTTGGCCTTAGGCCAATTTCTGAAATAGTCTTCATCTTAAGCATCCCAAATTTAGATGTTAAGATGAATCGTTTAGCAAGTGCTTCAAAACGTTCTACATTTAGTTCTTAGAAAAGGACTGTAAAAGGTTTTCGGCAAGACAGTGAGAGTGTTAAAGGCACAGAGACACCGGCTGTTGCAGGTACACCAAGGCTTTATGTCACTGTGTCTGCTAACAAGCTAACAAGCTAACAAGCCTTACCGGACCACTCAGCTGACCACAGTGAGGCTGACTCTCATTGTCATGAACCCCAAGATGGATTGGCTTCATAACCATGTGGGCCAAGCTTTCAGGAGAAGCTTAAAATTCAATCGCCAACCACTTCGGTCCTGAAGGGGGGGGGGGGGCACTCTGGATTTTAAAATCAGAAGATGTGTTTGATTAAGAAGAATGCATATTAAAATATTTTAAATCCAGCTAATAAAGACACAAGAGACACATAGGAAATAAATAAAGGTATTTATTGTAATTCCACATTAATCGTCATTCTCGATTCAGTTCTCACATTTTAATAGTTAGTTATTTGACTATCTATCTGACATAAGGTCTGACATTACCTTTTTTTTCTCAAATGATGTCACCTATGCAGGATAATTAAACCTATGTAAAGGTAATAGCCCTTAGATCAAACACAGTCTATTTCTCAATAAATACTGCCCTGTGTAAAAGTATGAAGACTGGAATGATCTCATCTCTTTTGACCTGTGCTAGTTGGCCACGGATCCTTTACAGAAAAGGAAAGAAAGGGCTCACTGGCTAAACTGTGGTCAAGGTCCATGGCTTAATAACAGCCACATGTTTATTACTTAACAAAACATGTTTATGACAAACTCAAAAATCATTGGCTAGCAGCATGTAAACCTGTATTTCAGAAGTTTTGGAACATACGTTAGCTGCCATGACTGCATCCAAACATTGGTGGGTACAGATCAACCGCTCACATCTTCTTTGTCCTTCTTACTGACTGAATTGCTCTAGCTGGCCCAGATCTTTTGGCCGTCTTACAAGAACAGCCCTCTTTACGTCTTGCCTCAGCATTTTTCATTAGTTGAGGTCTAGCTTTCATCACGGACATTCCATGCATGACATTTCTATCTCTATGTTGTCCGTAGCTTGAGCTCTTCATAGGGCCTACCTTGGCGAACAGGCCTATGAGGAGAAACCAGACATTCAACAATGCATCAAGGGCCTCTGATGGTGCTAAAACGAACAAGTGAACCTTGGCAAGAATATAGGTAGGAGGACCAGGATCCGGACCCGGATCACCAACATAACGCAGCTGGGCTCTGCCATTGGGTGGGGGGCAGATGCCGTGCCATTTGGGCAGCATGTATGAACAGAAAGGGCCCTAAAGGATTAGACCTTTACATGGAATGTTACCTCCCTGGTATCTAGCCAGTATGGGAGATTGTCACTGGCTAGATATAACTGGCCTTACCTCCATGCACAGTATGGCCTCCAGAACGCGACCACTTGCTCAGGGGTAGAGTCTCTGCTATCTGGGAGAGGGGGGGCTCCATGGTGTGAAACCTCAGGAGGCATTGGGCCACTCGTAAGTCCCAGGTTCAAGAGAGTTACCTCTACGCATGTGCAAGATGCAGAGAGGGAAACTCTGACTGTTGTTTGTGTATATTGTTGTTTACAGACTGCCCCCGAGTTACCACTGGGTCCTGGTCTGACAGACAGGCAGCTTGTATGTCAAAATGGATGTACTGTATGTTGGAATTAGTATATACAGTACAGTGTACTAACTTCTAACAAAAAACAGATTCCCAGGTTTCAAAAGAGTTCACTAGCCCCCACTCCTCTATTTTCATTCATATTGCTACTTACCTTTCTCCTTAAACCTTTTTTGATCTTTTTACATGATTCTGTAATTTCTCTTATATAATTTTTATTATGTCGTTGGCAACTATTGTACGGCACGCAGCACGCCCTAAGTAGGATAGCACTGCCAGGCGATCCACCTCCCAAAATTTATTTCTACATACATTTACTTAATATATATATATTTAAATTTCACTCGTATGAGCAAGTGGTCATAAGTCACATAGGTCATAAGTCTGTATATTAATGTAGTAAGAGTTTCATCCAAATCCTTCACACAAAATCAGAGCTATTTGTTGTGGGCAAGGGTGCGTCTTGTCTCCTCTCCTGCTTTCCATGCCACACTTGCAAGGGCATCCAGCCGGGGTGGCTATAAGTGACACCCCTCCGATCTGCAGATGCTGTTGTGCTCCTGACCTCATCCAGAAAGCACTTACCTGAGTGATTTGATACCAAGCCTGAAGTAGCGGGGATGAGCATCCGTACCTCTCAATCCACGGCTGTGGTGATCTCCCCGACAAAAACAGATTATTCCTTTCGGGTGAAAAGGGAGAGTCTGCCCTTGGTGACAGAGTTTCAGTACCTCAGGATCTTCTTCATGAGTGATGGTAAGAGAAAACATCAGATGAGACTGGCCACCACAACCCTCACCAGGATGAGTAGTAGGAAGATGATAAAGGAATGATGATGATGATGATGATGATGGTCATTTTAGCCAATATTAATCAAATTTTCTTCAATTAATCTAACAGATCAAGACAAGCAGTAATACTCTTTTTCCATCTGCCGCACCTCCTATGAGTCCTGTTTCTAATCAGCTACAGTCATATTGCTGAGGTATGATGTAAATATGAGCTGAAGCAAGGTAGGACTGCAAAGCATTGTCTATGGTCTTGTACAGTAGGTCATTTGGACATTTCTTGTTGCTTTGTGTGGGCTAATTTTGAAGGATGCCACATGTCTAGACAAAGGAACCATGGTCTGAAATGTTCATTTGTGTCCTGTTTTGTCTTATCCTACTATAACCCTATCCAAAGTATCCCATATATCCAAAGTGATGAGCAGTCTCAGCACTCACAAAGGTCCTCTAAAGTCTTGTTAAACTGTGATGGTGTGTATTACATTGATACGGACAGATAATAAAAAATAACTAGGTTTATAAGGCTACCCAAACTGTCCCAGTATTGGCGCTTTTGATTGGTTAACTCAGTACCCAATCATCTATGCATGTGTTTATAGTTATCTTGATAGCTAAGTAAACTTATGATATTTCTGAATATGAAAAGGTATATTTCAGCCAAAAAAATTTTTTGAGTCTGATTTATTTGAGTAGCATGACATTTAATCATGTAAATAGGAGTAAACCATGAGCATCTTTAAGCAACTGAGAATATCCTAAAATATACTCTTGTTTGCGCGCTAAGTCCAAAGACTGGTGGAGGTCAACTTTTGACTCTAAACTTTAATTTGTGATAATGTGTTTGCAATGGACTGCCATCTCATGCATCTTTTGTCCTATTAAGAGACTCCAGGTCACCACAACCTAGAGCAGATAATGTAATTGAAAATATAGGGACTGCCTATGTCTGTTCAGCACCTAGAATGTGTCGTCTCCATCAGTTGGTTTAGTGCTTCACCTTGTTTATTTTTATGGGTGGCTCAGTGGTTGGCATAATAACCTTACAGCAGGGGTGGCCAATCTTATCCGCAAAGGGCTGGTGTGTATGCAGGTTTTCGCTGCAACTCCCTAATTAGGTCACTAATTACAGGACTGATTGGCTGAAGAGTCCTCACACCTGGGTTTGAACAGCTGACCTACAGGTTATCCCAAAAACCTGTATACACACCGGCCCTTTGCGGATAAGATTGGTTACCCCTGCCTTACAGGGTTGGGATTTTTCTGTTTCCAAGAGGGAAAATGATTGGTTGTAGTTACATTAGAAGGAGGAAAAATGAAGATCAATGGAGAAGGTATCTAGGATGTGGTGCTGGCATGACAAACCTTTCTCTCTAACGTCACAAGACACATTATCACCAATTACCCATTCATTTCTGTTTACGTCTAGTACAGGCATTTTAGTAAATCACTGGAGAGTAAGAACAGAGTTATGTAAATTAAAACTCAGTTAATTTAGATCTGAAGATATCTCATAATTAGATACTGTTCCAGCAGAGGGCAGCAACTTTGTGTGGAACAAGTCACCATCCAACAAGAAGTCAAACGTTCAAACTTGCCACATTTTGCATATTTTAAGAAAACTGGCAGTATATACATCTTGTAATGAATTTAGAGTGTGTCTTTGGAAGTGAAATGTAAATAATAATGTTTAACATCCACAGTGTTAATGATCAATAATGGAGAAATCCATACATACCTCTATTTTCTGATGCTAATTTCAGTCAGGAGTGCTGGCCAAAGAGAGATCATCTGTTATGCCAAAACATGGGCTGCAATTGTGATATTCTCAAGCAGAATTATTTTCTTGTGCTATGGACTTAAAAATCAACATATTGTTATGGCGGGGCATCACACAGGAGGGACGATCCATGCAGCGACTGTCAATGAAAGAGGTTTATTAACAAACAGAACACAAATGGAGAAGCAGGCGGGTGAAACATGAACTAACTAAAAGTAATCACAAGGGAAACTAACACTGAAACTGGGAAGACATGTGGGGAACCAAGCAAGGAGTAAAACACTAATGACACAGGAACTAACACACAGTAACAACTATAACTGAACACCAGTAACACAGGGCAAACAGCCACAATGACAGACTAAGGAACTGACCGAGGGCAGGAAATCAGATACACAAATATAACAAAGGCAAGGGGCAGGTGTGGACTATTACAAACTAGGGGCAACAAAGAACAGGTGAGATCAATTAGAAAACAAGGTAAATAAGCATTACTAATAACAGGGAACAACAATGAACCAATGCACAAATATAAAGATCAAGAATATTCAGAAACAAACACAGTAAAATACAAACATAGTTGAGGCCGGTCTCTGGCCAGCCTCGAACCCACAACAAAAGGGAAGACTGGGTGAAAACCACTCACTTCGCCCATTAAGCCAGGAAGTGGCAAAGGGAACAGGGCAACACTAGAAGCTACCAACCCAGGAAATAACGGGAGATGGCATGACCAGCGACACCCGCTGGCCAAACAGGAAAATGACTCATGGACCAGGGCAGGACAGGAACACATATGTCTTTAAAGGTAGTAGTGTAAGGTGCGTTTACACAGGTCGTGTGATTCAACAGCGAACCAAGATACGTCTGACTGTAACAAAATAAAGCTTCTTTGACAGGATACATTTATCTAAGTCTTAAATTTGCTGGGTAGATGGGAGTTAACTGACTTCAGCAGCGCCCTTTGTCGGACAGCTATGGGAAGCGTGCATTTAAACGGTTATGACGTCCTTTGAATTTCTACGAATGTCCCTTCCCAGTTTCTATATTTGGAGGTGAATTTCTAGGAAAATAAAACTGGTCAGAACTCCATATACAGTGCCACAGGAATACGAGTCCCCCCTCCCCTTTTTAAAAGCGGCAACAAAGCTGGTGTCACCAGCGCTGCCTGTCAGAACATCTACGCAGATCGCCAGACCTCCACTTCAGCTGGAGCTTGCAAGTCGTCTTCTGGCTGCATACCTTCAAAGAAGGAGACAGAATGAATCCCCGTTTACAGAAAGCGCATTGCTTGCAGTGGATTTACATTGCGAGTTCTTTTTATGACGATCTTTTGTTTTCTTATTGGGAGCTACCCAGTTATGCCTCCCCCCTCCTTTCTTATCCCGTGGCGTGATCATGAAGAAATGTTTGAGGAGCTGGCAGCGTGTTCACGCAATGCAATGAGTCAGGACCGAGAGACTGGGAAGACCTCGGCACTGGAAGCACGCATTACCAAAGAAACAATGACAGAAAAAATAAAACAAAAACAGAAAACACCAGCCGATCAAATTCCCACCGCCTGCTGAATACCCTCAGGCTATCTGGGTAAGTTTCACATTATTCCGCATGCTATGCTGCTATATATACATATATATATTAAAAGTGCATCGGATGTGGATTATAAATGCGTGCTCGCTCGCTGGCACGTCACGTCTCACACATGGTCGGGAAGGCCAGCAGGTGTGACATGATTTTCTTTTTTTCCTAATATAAATCAATAATACCCGCTACAGAAATGATATCGCCGAGACGTCTTAGATCATGCGATTTAATGCAGGAGTTGTGTATTCTTATTAATAGTTGCACCAGCGTGTCGCCGCCCCGATAGTAAGGTGCTTTATCTATTTCACCCTCGCCACCCCCCTACGAGACTGGACGCAGACAGATACTGTCTGAGAGTAAGACTACCTGAAGTCTGGGATTGAAGACGGGGTCTGAGATTCAATCAGGTTAAAAGGACCACCCATGACTCCTAAATAGATATCTCTCAGACGCAGTCTGGCGTTATGAAATAGTAGCAAACATTCACAAAGAAAGATTTTTGTGAATAGGCGTAGGCATGATTCCTTTATGCCGCTGAAAACCGATATATATATATATATATATATATATATATATATATATATATGCATGCACGCATACACTCATACTATAATCAATTATTAGTCAATAGATAAATCTACCTCTTAATATTTTAATAACTGTTATACAAAGTAGCGGTTTGTATTTAATTAGTACGTCCGATGCATCAATTTTTAACACAAGGATGAAAGTAAATTAACTTTGAAAATAAATGTTTCCATGTCCCACAGTTAGCTGTTGTTAACGGAAAAATTTACAATTATTTGCATACAACCAATGATGGTTGTGGTGCGTATTTTTTTTCCTTTTAATTCTGATTAATTTTGAATTGTAATTAAAGGAGTGCCTAGTTTAAACGATCTGACGTTGGTTGAGCCTCTTGTGGCGGATGTTTATAAAAAACATTTTGATTACATTGGTTGAGTGACTTTCCAGTGGTGTCGACAGGCATCCAAAGCAGAGGGATGCCCTTTATTTTGCCGAAGGCGGTCATGTGCGTTAATATATTCGGATGCAACAAGCCTCGGCTTCTGCTTGTGATCTCGGTTGCGGGATTTTGAGGGCGAGATGTGTTTTATTAAAATCCAACTGGCCCGCAAAGTCCCGCTTCTGGCACTCATTCAGTCAGCTTGAAGTGATTGTCCTCAACTTTTTTTCCCCTTTTTTGTACTGCTTATATGGTATTTTGTGTAATACATTCTATCACACGTCTACTTTGATGAGACGCATTCGGAGTTGAATCTCGCTGTAAGGAAGGTGATGACGTCTTTATCTTAAATTCCCACTCTAAACTAATCATTCATAAAGTAGTGGAAGTAAGAACTAAAACTTAAGTAAACTATAAACTTTAGGCCAGTGGTTTCCAGTCCTCTTGCCTCCCCCATTATGCTGCGTTTTGTTCCAGTTGTCAATTTAATTAGACTCGATTGGCTGATCTAAATGTCATATATATCAACAGTTACAAAGCTACAGCCTATTTGAGAAATTTTACAAGCGTGTTTGTGTTAATCAAATTCAAACGGGTGTTAAAACGGAAGGCATTTATGATGATTAATTCATGCCCTCCAACAAGAAAGTGTTAATTAATGTTAAGATAAATACTAATAATTTAGTTATTTAACGTATACATTATTTTGCCACATCCAAGTTTATATTAATATACATTGCTTTTTAAAAATAAATGAGGCATTTTAATGTTAAATGACAAGCAGTATTAAGTAAATTATGGAATCAAAACGGAACTGCGGGGGGAAAAAATTGGGCCAATTTGTTTCACAGAAATAACAGAAGCCAAATGAAGAGTAAAGTGATCATTAAAAATTAGGCCTACATTTAAAATGGAAAAACCTGACTCTTTGTCTTTGTTAACAAGTACATCCCTGAAGCTCTTTAATGCCGCAGGGAGAATGAGGGGCTTTTGGGGGCAGTTGTGTTTGAGTATCACCATCATAATGCCCCTAAAAATCCTTATTGCTCTTGCACTTATCAACTAAGCCTGAGATTGCTGGCTACCTTTGTTGCCAACCAGATCACCTCATCTCCTCTTTTGTTAACATGGGATACGTTCATGAGCTTCAGATAGCTGGTGGTTGGTTCGGCCTCTTGACTTCTGAAAAATAACCTGGATACATTGCAGATTTGATATCTTGTGTACAGATTACACAGAAATAGCTTATCGGTGACATGTCTGCTATCTGTACAGAATGATGCAGCCTGATGTCACTCCTGTATCTGAAATAGTGGTACGATGTATGGAGATGAATGACAAGCTGTAAATAGCCACGTTGAAGCAGAATTTTCTCAATAAATCATTTTCTAATTAAGCTACGGCGGAGACGAGTTATTTGTGTGTATTTGTTGGAGACCCTTGATCTGTAAAAATGAGACAGTATTAGTGAGGTGATGATATGGGACAGAGTGGTTTGTGATTAGCTGATGGGTGTAATTTTCTACAAGGTAGGCAGCAGGCAGCGGTTATTAGCTTTTGTTGCAGATTGTTGAATTGCATGTTTGTGCAACAGCAAAAAGGAAGAGAGATACTAAAAAAAAAAAAAAATGCTAGCCGGAGCGTGATAAATAAATAAAATAAATGAAGGATAAATCTATTGAATAAAGAGCTTAAATTGTTGAGGGTAAAATGTATGAATGAAACAGTGGGAAGAGGAGTTTACTGCCAGAGTAAAGAGGCTTATTTTAACCACATGAATTGCAGGCCAGTTTTAAAATGTCTCAAAGTACCAAGATGCTTTATTCCTGCTGATGTTGACTGAACTTGGGGATAGTCGGCTAAAATTGAGGTACTTTGACCAACTGTGTCCAACACGCCCATCTTAACATATCTGCTTATGATACATGTTGGGTGAAGATTCTCAGGTCGTCCTGTTCGCAGATTTCCATATTATTCAACAAAGTTGTTTTTAAGTGAAAAAATGTATAATTACATTCCCCCTATTTTAACATGCGGGGACACGGGGACACGGGGACACAAACTACTGGACCTTTAAAGCATAATAATTTTAACTCACTCTTATAACAGAAAAAAATAAAACTCCTGGATGTACAACTCCTGTATTTAAGAAGCATATGAATTCATAAATAAAAAGCAAAATAACCTGCATAGATAGAACATCTCACATCTCAATTACTACACTTCATTTAAGTTTAAATTGCAGCCAGTCCCCAGTTTATGAATAAGATCCATTCCCTAAGTGTCTTTAAGTCGAATTTCTAAGTCGGAACAATAATATTACAGTACATAATAATACCATAATAATAAAAGTAGCTACATACAGTACTGTACTATACCTCAAGCCGATGAATCTGTAAAACTGCACAAGGTTTTCATGAGCGTATGCACTCATTATGAGCAATTTTAATATAGTATTCTTTATGGTAGTTCATTCATAAGTACAAGTTGTCAATAAGTGGGACGTTCTTAACCTGGGGACTGCCTGTAGATTTAATTGATTTTTGGACTATATCCATTACAGAACCTTCTTAAGATCATGGTGTGGTGGGTTTAGCCTCAGGAAGTGTGTAATAAGGCCTGAATGGACTGAATGGGGGCTGCGTGGTGTTTGCAGCAAGGCAGACTTTGGTAACATATGAAATAATAGTATAAGAGTGCTGAAACGTGCATAGCGCGGACAGTAGTGCTCAGCAGGCATGGCGTATACACAACCCGCGGCAAGGTCATCCATAGCCAGCCAGGATCAGCTGGGGAACTCATTATTGTCATTCAATACGTTCAACAGAGATGCGAGAAGCTTCTGACGGAGCTGATGCGGTAGATCACGCCAGGAAAAAACGAGTTTCCACCGGTCGCGCTGTCGCAAGTTCAGGGACGCGGCTGCGGAGATGCTTGTATCGCGCACCCCGAAGGCATTTCAGACCGCAGGCTTTAGGAAACACCCAAGCGAGGACTCCCTGACCTGCAGTAAAGGCATTCAGGAAAGCCACAATGAAAATAAGTTTTTACGTCTGACAGAGCGAGTGACTCCATTATGCCTGCCCGTGCACCCAGAAATACAAAAGGGGTGTGTATTCGGGTCTATGAAGGACAATAACGGCAGCACAGTCCCCACCCCACTCCATACCTGTCACCTCTAGCTGCGAAACGAGATAGCGACAGAAAGGCCAGCTTCCGCACCAGGGCGATATGTGCACCACTGTGGTGTCACATGGGCCAGAACGCTGCCCTTTCATTCGCTGCGAGCCAACCGCCCGAAGGACACGCCCATTTTCATAAGGGGAAAATCATCATGGAGGGCGGTCTCAGTGTCCACATCACACGTCCTTTTGGCCTACTTGGGTGACAGAGCCCCCCTCAGAAGAAATGATAGCACTCAAAGCCTATAGACTGGACAGTTTGGAATGGGGGTGGGGATTCAGCCCAGAAAAACACAGACACTGCGCCTTGGAAAGTTTCCCAAAAACGTGAGCAACTCACCAGCAGCAGAGGGTGAGGAATGCACACTTTCTGCTTACCCTGCAGATTGTGCTAACAATGTTCTATGAAATTTTTTGGATTGTAACAACCACCACAGATTCCAGGCCTGACCAAGATATCCCAGGGCCTCACATTCCAGAGTCGGAGCTCTTATTTCTCAGATCCGACGGCTTCGAGGAGCCATTCCGAAAGGCAGGGCCGGCTTTCCTTCCAGCCTGTTCACCGGAGCTGTTCTCTGCTGCCTCCAGGACACACACATACACACGCATTTCAAACCCCGCCTCAGCCAGAACCTCTCTCGTGTGCTTGGCTCATGTTTCTGGCTCGTGGGAGTTTTACTTACACAAAAAAGTTCTGAGGCAAGAAAATGATTTATCTCCCTGAACCAATCAGACTGTAGAGGTGGGTCCAAGCAACTAGGAGGAGGCAGGGCCAAGACATCTGATTGGTTGGTCCCACATCCTTCAGTCACTTGGACCCACCCCCTCTACAATCTGATAGGTTTAGAGAGAAATTTTCTGGCCTCAGAACATTTTTCTGCAAGTAAAACTCTTAATAGCAAGTTTCTGGTGCAAGGGGTCCCCAGGAAGGCAAACCCCTCAAGATTGGGCGCTAAGCTGGACCACGTCAGCTCCATTAACTGCTGCCCACCTTCAGGTTAACAGTGCAGGAACAAGGCCTTATGAAATGGTTAGAAATCATTGCTCAGAGAATTCTACTTGGCACACTTGCTTTGAGCAAAGGGTGTTAAAATGACAGCAGGATGTAGACCAGGGATGTGCAGTCAAATGAAATCCTTTTGAAGGAACAAACACTCCAATTCCCCTTGTGTCATATTACTACGCGTATTTAAAATTTTAGCTGGGAAGCCGACCACTATGAAAATGAAAAAACGACCTTGTCAGGGTGTGTTGGCCGACTGGCAACGAGCCGCACTGCTCCAGAGGTGGATCTCGGACGTCAAACGGGAAGGGATCTTACAGCCTCCCTTCAGAATACAAGGAAACACTGCAAAGTGACCACCTCCGATACAACACGCATCACGTGAACGTCAAGACACAGATGACAGTTGTGTTCTAAGAATCATTCTTTAATTTTTTTTAAACCCCCCCCCCCCCCCACCCCCCCCCCCCCCCCCCCCCCCCAAACCCAACATGGGGAGCCTTCAGTTTCCATGATACAAAAAGAAAAATACCCACATTTTATCCAATTAAGGAAAAAAGACATTAATCCATGGGATGGTAATTCTAATACAACAGGACCATATTAATCAAAAAAAAAAAAAAGACAGAAATAAATGGCAGCTATATATAGGGAATAAAAAAGGTCACTTTCCCTAGAGGAGATTACAATTGGCTAAAAACCGGGAGAAGTGGGGCTGAAGTCCATGCACACATTTAAAAAGGAAATTCTAGCCAAATTTTTTAAAACCTTACAGAAGCTGAATTCCACTTTACCCATGTTTACAATATTCACGCTGCATCTTTTTAAACCCACACTTTTTTTCCCTCTCTTTCTTCGGGAGGTGCTTAAGCCAACGCCGGCATTACGCTGGACTGCTAAGTGCGCAAGGTTAAAAGTACAGTCCTGAGACACACACACAGTGGATATGAACAGTGCAGACTGAGTGATAACCCAGGCACACACACACGCGCGCACACACACACACACACACACGCGCACACACACACACACACGCGCACACACACACAGGAGTGCTAAACACTAGGTGATGAGGTCTACACTCAGAACTGCAGACGGCCATGGAAGGTCACATTCAAATATTAAATCACCAACAAGTCAAACACACAAAAAAAATTTAATTCAAAACACATGATCCCCTTTGAAAGGAAGAGTGACGGACGAGTAGAAGTGGCGTCAGGGTGACATTCTTATGGCTTTTAAAGCTGGCTTTTTTTTTTTTATTGTGGGCGCTGCTGCCGCCGAGAGCCCCGCCGCGCCCCCCCCCGCCCCCCGCGCTCGGCAAGGGAGAGCGTCTACCAGACCTGTGGGACGTCAAACAGGGCCGAGGACGATGTTGTGGTCATCCCGGGAGCTATAGAAACACAAATGAAGGGGAAAAGCTTCACCACACTGCACTACTGGGGGAGAGCATACGGTCTTCACGGCTTTGGGACAAACACACAGGCGGAGCCAAAACCGGTAGCAGCAGAACTCCATGCGATACAGCAGTCAGCCCTAAGACATGACAAAACAATCATACACAGGGTCTGCACATCTTTACCGTAAATGATGAGAAGATCCCCCAAGTACCAAATAAAACCGATCGGGGGAGGATGACCATAAATTCACCCCCACCGATGGCCAAGTTAGGCAGCCAGATGGAAAGCTGGATGCGAATGGCGGTCCAGCATATATGCAGCGATAAGCTGGGGGGGGGGGGGGGGGGGGGGGGGGGGGGGGGGTGACAGGCACCCACTTCCATAATGCTACTGTACAGCATGGTGCAAGGTCTCCGAAAGAAACTGAAAGAATCCCCATTGTCTGAAACGTTCTTAACCCAGCCTGGCAAATAGTCATGTAGTATGAGAAGAGAACTAGGACACTGAAAAGTTTGGCACACGAAAATGTCCCAATTTGTGTCAGTGGTCTGAGTGCAGAACTGCGGGCGGGGGTGGGGGGGGGCTGTCAGCCTATTCATTCAGAGCCCTTCATTTCCAAGGTGGAGGCCTAGAGAGCACCGGCCACCAGGAATCTGGTTCCAGTTACGACACACATGCCAGGAAAAGCCATTTTAATACCAATGAGCGCGTGAGCATTAAGTGTAGATCCCTATGACAGTAAAACGCTCACTTAAATTGTGGTGGCACCCCCCTCCAACATTCACAGGTCAGGTTACACCCCCTGCTCTGTGGAAAAGTAAGGAGAACGGTTATATTTAGAGCGTCAGCAGAACCGTCTGTGCTGGGGATGGGAAGCTCAGACGGGGGGGGGGGCAAGTCCCTCTCTGTGGTGCCTAGACCAACGGGTGGAATATGGGAAATTTCAAATTTTTACCATGGAGCAGACAGGTCAACTCGTCAGAATTTTTGGTTTTGTATCGTCTGGGGTGGGGGTGGGGGGGCTGAAATCCTTGATAACTTTAGTGCAGAAGTTAGTCACCAAGGAGACGGTATTACTCATAGCATAAGACAAATCTGTCCTTTTTCGCCTTATTTCATCATAGCCACAAACATGTGTTTAAGAGCTCATCCCTGAGCTACAATCCCCTGTTTAAGTCTTTACACTTCTTATCAAGCCGCACGCACCCTTCTGAAGGGTTATACGCAGGAAGAAGATCGCAAGGAAACCAGGCTTTGAAGATCAGCCCAATCCATCTCAACACCAGGGACTGCATCTTCTGAAGAACTTTAAAGGGGTTATGGGAGAGTCACGGAAACGGGGCTGTCACTATAAAACGGGCGCACTCAGGGGACAGTTAGGCTAATCTTCCTCTGTGCACATTCAGAACACAGCAAAACCTGCTGACTAGTCTCAAACTTTAAACGGGATGGAACTCTAACAATCTCTTCCCGTAAACAGCCACCCAGAATTGGTGAACAAGCACCTTTATCGTATCGGGGGGGAATGACATGACGAAATGCCAAGATCTCACATTGCAATCAGATGCTGAGGGCTGCTTGCACACGGCTGGGGCTCAGAGGCTGGCCGTACGGCGGCAGCTCACCTTGAGCCTTCCTCTTGTGCTTGCGGCTCTTTCCTTGCGTGGCAGCGGCAGCGGGAGCCTCAGGTTGGGGCCGGGCACTGCCAGGGGCATCGCCGTCATCCTCGGGCTCTTCCATGCCATCCGAAGCCTGCTCCTCCTGGATGGGGCTCATGTTTCTCCTCTCCGCCGGAGTCCTGCAAGGAATCACAGCACAGGAGATGGACCAGCAACACAGGCATTTCAGCCTTGGAGCACGACAACCTCTGGTCACATCAAAAAGCCACCGGTTTCAGAACCGGGACCCTTTGGTTATAAGGTTAGCACAGCGAGAATTCAACACAGTCATTCGTGGTCAGAGGTCTCAAACAAATCCCAAGACTGTATTTTTGTTATATACTCTGGAGACCCCTAAGTTTATCCCATCTAGGAAATAACATTAGTACTTGTGCAGCAGCACAAGGTTGACGAAAGCACAATTTAAGGAAATGTCAGGGTAAGCGTTGCATTGTGCCCAAGAAAAGGGCAAAATGATCAGTTTAACATGAGAATTACGCCACGGTAGAAGTCTGCCAGAGGTACATTAGTTGCCACTGCCCACAGTTTACTCCGCTGGTCATCACGCCGCCGGGGGGGTGGGGGGGGGAGTCAACATACTGCGATGAGAGCCAGCTGTCTTCAGGCTCGCCTCCGTACGTCTGGACACCCATACCCTCCGCACTCCTGTTCCCAGCAGAGGCTACCAGATGACATGCAACTGAATCAGGATTTGAAACAATTTGTTCCCAAATTCCCCACAGGTTATAACCCACCTCCCACACTAAGCTTTGAGTCAGGGGATCAGGATTCTCAAACAAACAGCAGTATTGCGTATAATTTACCCAGCCAGTTAAGTCTGACTCACACAAGATTGTCATCGTTACAAATGCCGAGGAAATCCTTTATTTAATGACATCGGATAAGTTTCACACACCGTCGATCCTGAGCTTTTTGCTCTGGCCTTTGTTACTGTACGATTGATTCCAAGTGCCAATGTCATTCTCAGCATCTTCAGATCCCTGCTCCTCCTGGATGGGGCTGATGCCCCTTTTGCCAGTGAAGGTTCTAGAACACAAAAATCAAAATCAGAACCTTAGATGAGAGCGGTCAAGGGAAAAGATTTAGCATAACCAGCATAAAATGCTGTAACATTTTATGCGATTACTGTAATGGGACAAATTGAAAATGAGATTGCATGAGTACGAAGCAGCATTGGTTGTTTGAGACCTCTAATGTTGGGGGTTAAAATCCCATGTCTGCTCAGAGTGTGGAGTTTCCATGTTCCACCAGGTACTCTAGCTCCCCCGTAGTCCGAAAATGTAATATGGCTTTGCTAAATTACCCACAGTGTATGATTATGTGTCCCATGACAGACCACCATCCAAAGAGTATCCCGTGCCGCATGGGATAGTCTCCAGGCTTCCCCCACAACACTGAAAAGAATTACTGGTTGGAAGATAGATGGATGGAGAGATTATATCACCAATGGTTTAGAGAACCTGCCAAGAGTATAAAAAAAAAAAAAATAATGTGGGGAACACATTATCTGAAGAATCCAATTCTCAAATATACTACAGAGTTTACGGGTGGGTAGATTTAATATGGTTAGACTTGTTAATTTAGATCTGTTCATTGATTTGCTAGATTGGCTGCAGAAAGAACTGGTTAGACTGTTCCACAAGTGACCAAAAACCACAAACTAAAAGCTTTAGAAAGCTTAAAAAGCCATTACTGTTTAAAACAGAAAATTCTAAAACATCATCCTTCACTATATATTCATGACCATCAATAGAAAGCCAGAAGATCAGAAACAGAGTGCAGACAAATATGCCGAAGGTCTGGGACTTTGTTTCCCAACCCAGCCCTCTGGGACCCACAGACAGTTCATGTTTTTGCTCCCTCCCAGCCTCCTGCCAGAGTTTGCACATCTTATCTCCCTCCCAAGCTTCCTAACAGACCCCCAGACAGGCCACGTTTCTGCTCCCTCCCAGTTCCTGGTAGAGGGAGCAAAAAATGTCGACAATCTTGGGATCCCCAAGGACCAGCTTGGGGAACACTGGACAGAGGAACCCATAAAAGGGTCCCCAGAGCATGATGGGCATGCAGGTCAAAGAGTGCCCTTACTTGTTGTTGCTGTATCCATAGCTGGAAACCGCCGGGGATGTGCTGTAGGGAGACTTGGTCCATCCACTTTCAGTCCATCTCCTACAGGTCTGTTTGTCCTGCCTGTTCTCCATGTACTCGGCGTAGGTCTGGATACGGTAGCTTTCAGCATAGCGGCTGGTGTTCACCGCTGCAAAGTGGCAGAGGGAAGATCCAGATGTTTGATGCCCAACAGTGTAGACTGACAACATAGATGTCCCAGATGTTGAAATGCTTTAAAAGCAGCTACATGTTGCTGTACAACTCACTTACGTTTCACTCAATCCAACATACTGGCAATTCATTTTTCAGGGTTGTTGGGGTGGGGCCATAATTGCAAGCAGACAGAGAATAGCCGTTTCCAAAAACTGTTTTATGGACATCTTTCTAGCTCATAGACAGCTCTGCAGCACATCTGAAAACCTGGCTGTCACATGCTTAACACCCCTCCCATCCAAAACTCAATTAACCACAGTAGTCTTAAGATGGAGCCAAGGTTTGTCTAGATACAGCAAATGGGTATCAACTAAGGGAAGGGAATCATCAGGAACCACAAAAAGGAACCTTCAAAAGGTCAAACTGAGCTATACCTCTGCTGTCTCAAGAGAACTCAAGCCATCCTGGGCCTCCTGGCAAAGACCTGGCAGGTCACGGAACATACCAATTAAGCAGACCATGAAAAGGGGTCTACTGCCCCCCCAAATCAAAATTGTTCAGTCACTGGCCACAGTACCACCGCCACAAGCCTAAGCTGCCTCTGGAGCCATCCACAACATATTCTGAAAGTAGGAGTTCAGGCATACATGATCCTACAACATCTGCTTTCCATTAGGAGCAGAACTGGACCACAGCCTGCTGTTGGGCCAGCGAGTCTTCCGTGTGACTCAGCTGTTCGGGAGGCCACAGGGATTCCCCTGGCTCGCATTCCCCCAGCGGCAGGGAGCAGACCCGTACCGCCAGGGTCATGATACCAGGCCCAGCCACACACACACATGTGCTTCCGCTAGCCACCGGAAGGCAGCCAGCACCGGTGGCATTCTGCTCAAAAGGACCCAGTTAGGAAAATCAGACCGGGGTGAGTGTGAATGGAGACGAACATTGACTTTGTGGGGGTGAGTCACTCAAAGCAGACTAGAGGCATGCAGTTAAAATTAACAAAACAAGAAAAAAAGAAAAAAAAAAAAAAAAAAAAAGCCTTTCTACACAGACTCAAGACTAAATGCAAGCCCAGAAGTGGATTATCAAGAGCCTGCAGGGTAAGGTAAAAGGGACACTTCTACCAACGTCTTCCAGTAGTATAGCTGCACATATACTTGTTTAGGTCTGAAAGTTAATATTAGCCTATAAATAAATCTGCACTAGACTTCCATTCATTTTCTATTGCTGCTTTTTCCAAGACTCCCGTAACCCAGCATTATACTTCATAGATTTCAATTCTATACAAGTCTGTATGCTCGCATCTACAGCCACAGCTAGCAGCCAGATGCACACATTTACTGCCGAAATGAGTCAGAGGTACTAAAGGCCTTTTATACAGTAGTGAGCCAATCGCCTATCAGATACTGCAAGAAAAAAGGTTGACAAGCATTCACGACTTTGGTTCTGCTTGCTGTCCCAGGCAAGCTGCACTCAAAACTACACTGAGTCAGCACCTCCTTGGGCATAACCAGAACTTGCCTGCTCTTCTCAAAGTAGCTACATCAAAAGCCTTAATGGGAGCCACATGCAGTCAAGCATGGAGGCAGGGAAAGAGCACATACTGTGACCAAGACGACAGGATGCCCAGCAATTGTCTCGAGTTCTTAAAGGCGAGCATAATGCCTATTGTTTATGGGGTGAACGATGCACTGAAGGAATGGCGTCACACCTTGACTTTGTACTACCCAAAATAATGACCCTAGAATGCAAGTAGCCTGTGTCTCAGCTGGCTCAAGGGCCGAGGACAGGGGCTTGATCAACAAGCCACCCCCACCAAAAAGTAGGATCTATACTTCATACATTTTTCCCCAAGTAGTCACATTTCTCATTCCACCGATGGACATTATGTTCATGAATCCCAAGCGGAACAGATGCACTGAAGTATCAAATTCCCCAACTCATTCCTCATGGTACATGAGCAGGACCTTTTAAAGCTTGTTGTGAGGCAAAACCCAAAGCCAGCTAGTTCTCTAAAAGTAGACGATACAAAATTAGGTGGACCCACCTAGAATAATGTGTGGCCAACCAAAACCTAATGATGCGTTTTATAATAAGGGATCCAGCTCACGGAGTTAAAACCATCTCTTTCAAAAGATACTGAAACTTTCAAGCGACCTTACACAGGCACATCAAGCTTTTACTTAAACTAGAAACCCGATAGCCAACTGGTCACTGGTGGCAGGCACGTCTTAGGGCAAAATGATTATTAGTATTGGTGACCCTAGTGCAATGAGGTCACACCTGCACTTTCATCTACAACCATAGGGTCTCTGATACTGGCATTATCAACTGTGTACAATATGCACTCAGGGAATAAAGTCTCCTGTGTACAATTCAATTCTATACACTATTTTAGTTACCCACCACCCCACCCCTCTGCCCTTTGACCAGGAGAAAGTCAAAGCATGTCACTAATCACTGGGGAACACATTGGGTTACCGTTCGGTCTTGTACATCCCTCTACAAAAAAGGGCATCTCAACAGCCAACACACTGAAAGATGTAACAAGCCAAACAAACAAGGCATCCCCATTTGTTTTTGAAGGATATTCGGTAAGGATGCATATCGGATCGGTATCGCCGTCGATCTACACAGACGGATCAGGTATGGGCTGTACGTGACCGATCCACGTCCGATACTTTAGTTTTCAGCAGTCTCTAAAAAGATAGGATCTAACACGAAATAGGAGCTATTTGAACAATTGCACTACAGCTCTCTCCCATTTTAGATGCGTTTTTTTTTTTTTGAGGCATTCAAGATGAACACCAATGCTGCCACTGAGTTTTTTTGCTACTCACTCAGAGGGCGTGAGCACAATAACTTCCACCTGCTGTGACATGCGCATACCCTCTGCAATACAAGGAGCGCAAGAGCATCAGCTAAGGTGACGATCTGGAAGCAATTAATGCTTTTAATAGCAACTAGTAGCACAGCGAATTGCAATCTCTGTAAAAACAAAGATTTGAGAGGTGGGAGTAGCATTTAGTGGAAAATCCCAATAAACAAAAGCACATGTGATTGTGTGACAAAAAAAAAGCAATGAATAATTTGGGAGTCGCTGGCTTGGGCTGTTTTGCACACTCACTACAGCTTGATGCAGGGGGGGCTGCTATCGCCATGAAGTGCAAGTGACGCTGTTGGCAGTGGGAGAAACATTGTGGGGCATTCTAAGCATTCGCCACGTGTCTATACTCTTAGAAGATATTCAAATTGAAGTGTAAAATGCCTTAAACTTAAAACGATGTACAAACGAGGTGGAATAGTACATTATGCATGTTATGCATGTCCCCCATCTGAATTTACTAGTTTAAAAATATTCAAGTATATATTATATTAAAAAAGTAAAAAAAAAAAGCTCTTGTATCGCCATCTGTATCGGTTGTGTATCGGAATCGGATCAGAGCTGAGAATGTGCATCAGCCCATCCCTAGCATTCAGTTTAGACAAACAACCAAGGTAGCCAAACGAAATGTGAAAACGCAGAAAGGCGTAAAAGTAGTGAATCCCCCCCCCCACCAGATGTGAGAATAATGCTACACAGCCATCAGAACCAATCTCCTCTTTCAAACGCTACCAGGCCTTAAAGCAATCAAAACGACTCATTGGCAGTAGTGCGGGAAATCGGGCAGGGAGAGGGGGACAAGGAGCAGAACTGCATGTCAACAGCACAACCAAAAAGGCACATGACCATGTGTCCATTACAGAAACTTGCAACATTTCTCTATTTTGCATTAAAATCTGGTCAGCTTGTTTAGGTTGAAGCCAATATAATCATTAAGTTACACTTATCAATGAAGAACCTCAACTCCAACAGATCTTGCAGAGCAGCAGACACCTGAAGACCAGAAACACTAGTTGCTTGCGTGGGTTTATGCTTTACACTCATTTTTACTTGGCTGAGGAGAAGCAGCAATTTTGGGGGCCTAAAGATCAGGCGCTGTCACTTTCATCATCAGGAAAAAAGGATAGGAAACTCTGGTCATGAGACTTTGGGATGTGCGATGCAACTACATAGTTTGAGCCATCAAGACGCCAATCTGCTGTCACACAGAGCTACTTTGGGTCCCCTTAAACTTGCCAAAGTTCAGCCATTAAATGCTAGATATCCGCTGTTTAGCATAGCAGTCAATGCTATGCTAAACAGCGGAAATCTGTAGAGCCCGATATTACCGATCACAAATTTATACCAAACATGTTCTTCAGAGAAGAACTACTCACTCAACGCCAGACTTCAGTTTACCAAAGGGTCTCCCCTCTTATGCAGCAAATAAAATTTAGAAAAATATAGCCAACACTAGATGGTACTTTCTTTGCAGGATTTAGTCATTTCAATTGGTTTTCTATGACAAATTAGCAAACAATGAATCCCACCCTAAACTCTGTGGAGGCTCAGGTTTTTACAGAGTCACCCAAAGACAACTGACAAGAATGAAGAGCTGCTTCAATTCACGAAAAATGTACACCTTTTCCAGAGGAGCTAACCACATGTAGCATGTCCACAGGCCAATAAAGCAAACAATGAACCCAACACCAGAAACATGACAGCTGAAGACTTCCAAAACTCCTCAGTACAATTGTGTGTGTGACTTTCTAGGGCACGCCCCAGATCCATGCCACAATTCGGGTCAACCTGGGCAGCAGCAGTCAGACGCTCCATTGAAAGCATTCTTTGGGGTGGGGGTCGGGCACAATTTACTCTTACCCAGTTTAGGACAGTATGTGGCATTGGATACAAGTAATGCAACTGAATGATTAGGTAGTAGACCGGTATGTTTGTACATTAATGCATCTAGTGAACAGATCAGCGTTTATCCATTCTAAACCTGGCAGAAACCAAGAGCAGCTGGCAAGGATCACAAAGGACAATGAGAATTCTATGACTGTTTCATTACATTAGAGCCACCATTGCAAAGCCAATGAAAGCCATAATGAACAGGCCCAGAAACAGACCAAAACACAGAATAGCTATTTGAATAGCTGGTGGCGATGGCATTGCCGCGAGAACCACATTATAATATTTATAGGGACATCACGCTACACAGCATACATGTATTACGATAGGGCAGGTGGAGAATCAACCAGCCCTGTCCCTTCTACATTTTTCAGAGAGCCAAGTCTTGGAATTTCACAACAGAAACTAATATAAAATATGGCATCTAACGCTGCAAAACAAGGTGTGGCTGCAACTCCTAGCTAGACGGAGCCAAGAACCCTCCCACAAGAGATGTGAAAACAGAAACCATCCCCCCCTAGAGGGAACTGAAAATTAGCTGTGAGCTTGACACCACCTACAGGAGGAAGCCTATTACTACCACAAGTCTACCCCAGTGACCACACCGAGGGCCAAACCTAAATAAAACCTTGCCAAACGCTCATTATGTGCATTCCAGGGCCTTGTATAAACCGTCTCGGGGATATTCTGAGCAGTGTTGGAAAGTGGGGGGCAGGGGGGTGAAGCTGCTTCCGCATGACCTACTCCAAGCAACTCCTGCCAGCACCCAGGTAAACTCAACGAGGCAGGAACTATTAAGTTCTGTTGACCTCACTGTTGAGCAATGGGGGGTGTTGGTATAGGCAGAGTACCACACCACAGAACTGGAACCATGCCCCAACCAAGCTTCCGTATTAAGTGTCCAGAAGCAGAACCAGATTCCTTTTATAAGCATGCAGAGGTCTGCAGATGTTTATAGTGCTGGCATCCCAGAATACCCAGCATTCCCCAATATACCCAGAAACAGTGCTGAAGGGCACCTTCTACAGGCCGCAACCAGTCTTTACAGCAGAGATATTGAGCAGCTACAGCTGTACAGTATGACCCTTCCTGAGTTTATGGGGTTTGAGGAATTTTAATGGACTATTCCAAGCAAGCAGAACAGTCCTCACTGAAGCTACCTCGAGCTTAAAAGACATGGTTGGGTTGCTGAAATGTACCGGAATGATAACGGGGACAAAAGGTTGGATCACACCTAAGGCAACGGTAGATTTTTACATAGCTCCCATTGTCACAGAAATAACATTTGCACACTGGTTAATTTAATAAGCAGCCAGAAAATTCTACCGAAAATTCTGTCAAGGTTAATAGACACTAAGGGTCAAATGCAAAATGGATATTTAATGCAAGGAAGGATTCAATGAATTTCCAAACCAAAAAAAGATTGAGCATGTAAACAAGGAAGCAGAATAAGAACTTACCGATCTGTACCTGGTCAGTTTGACTTAGACACACAAATGCAGAGGTATCATCTATCCAGGAAACCTGGATATTACCTAGAAACAGGCAAGACACAAGAAGAAACCAATAAATGGTAGGAAACTGCATACAGCAGACTCCCCATCCCTGAGATGCCATCGGAGAACAGGCCTAATTCCTGAAGGCTATTTCACAAGCAATTAATGAGAGCTTTACTGAAGAAAAAACAACTTATACAGAGGGGTAGATTACCGTGATCGTGGAGTGCCGGTATCCAGCGGGTTCTCTATTCTACTTGATGAGTTACTATCTGCCAATGATCAGATGTGGTTCACAGAAAACCTGCTCGATACTGGCACTCCAGGATGAGGATTGCTTACCCCTGGTTACACAAACTAAACTGAGGGCTCAAGAAAAAGGCAAGTGCCTCTCATCATTGTGACACACACAGACGAGACAGAGACAGACCTCTGTCTACACTTGAAATGGTCAACCTATATCCACCGAGGACATGCTTAGGTTATGGACACAGTCATCAAGCCCTGGGAGGGGGCACAGAAAACCCCATTCAACTACACACCCACCAAAAGCACTGAAGAGCTGATACAGATCACTAGTCTTCCATTCCTTGGGGAAGGTGACGTAGAGGACATGGTCCCGTTTGGGCTGCACTGCAGAAGAAGAGGCACCTGAGCTGCTGGCAGCAGAAACCTCAGCCCAGTTTATGGTCACAGTGTATTTGGGTCTGGCAGACGAGGCTGTACTCACAGTCTGGCCCACTGATGTTGAGATATGGGATGTCAATAATCCTCATGAGATAGAGCCTGCAAAGAGCACAAATACAGGATTTGGCATCAAATTCCAGCTTGAGAAACGGCAAAATGTCCAATTAGCCATATATGTACAGAACACCCTTCACGTGATTTTTTTTTCCTTTGTTGACAAGGTAAGAAAATGTTTTGATCATAGTGGTGACACCACAGCCATTATGAGTCACCGGTCATCTCCAAGTAGTGATCGAAGGTCATTTACGCCGGTACCCTGTTCTTTGGCCAGCTCCACAACTTGAACGTGTCATTTCACAAAAGTAAATAGTCCCAGTGAATTGTTTCCAAGCCAAGATTTCAGAAGCTCTAGGGGCAAAATCTCAGCTCGGGGCTGGTTGAAACCGGATGTGTAGGTGGGTCAAAGAGCAAAGCCTGTTAAAAATCAACCGATTATTTCTGTGCCAAAATGTAAAATTGTTGCAAGACTAGGGTCCCATACATTGTACTTGACTGAAAATACTATCAAATTGAGGACATTAGCAAACACTACCGGCGACACCTCATTAAAATTTACCATGTTAAAGAAAAACTTCACTGTGCCCATTTATGAAGCTGCAAACTCAGGCAGTTAGAGAAAGGGTGCATCTATACAGCAACAATACACTGATTTACTTACTTGTTAAAAAATGGTTCAATGAGCTTGGACCTGGCTGAAATGTGTGCTCTGGGAGGTGTGAGAAAGGTTCCTGGGGGGGGGGAAGAGATGGTCAAGAGACAGGTTTTCAAAGCGCTACAAAACAACACCACACACAGGAACACAGCTAATACCCAAATAGTTGGCCATGGAGATGAAGCAGAGGCCAGTGATGTAGGCGTCGTATCCAGCTTCGTGGAGCTGCTCGGTGGCAGTGTCGTAGCGCGGGAAGCCCTCTGCACTCTCTGCGATTCGCATGGGGACAGGCAAGGATGATGCCGTGACATCTGTACTGCAGGAGACCGCGACACACACCAGCCCATATCCTTATGGTAAAGCCCAAAAGCAAGTTGAACATACCAACTTTAAGGGGCTTGAAAGGACTTTCTTTCAGCTGCTTCTCCAGCTCTGCTAGAGATGTGTTAGTGATGAGCTCCTTGGAGGAAATACCACACAGAATTATGGGAAATATGGAAAAGTTAGTTGTCAAGGGCTACAGCACACCCCCGACTAAATGCAACAAAACCAACACTCAATACTCAGCCTCACCCCCAGTATTCAACCACAATTCAGTGACAATGCACCGTTATCCTTCAACATCAGCACACATCCCTAAGCTAATGTCCCCATCTAGTGGCGTGCAAGCTTGCCACCTCCACAACCAGAGACTAACATGTACTCGAAATCAGCACACTATATAAAGGTTATTTTAGCCCCTACTGAAAACACGCAACATCATTTAGGGGCAATTCTAATTCAATTCTAATATTCAGAAACCACCAGGGAACCCAGATATGTTTGAGGGACCAGTTTATTTAAAAAAAATAATAAAGCCCTATGAAATGTGGAAATACAGATTAAAAATGAGGTCAGTGAAAGTTAGGCCCACACAAAACCCAAGCAATTTCTAAAAAGTGGGCAAAGAAATCTTGGTGAAATGCATCAAGTTTCTAAACTAATATCTGCTTGGGAAACTTAACTTGTACTTTTAACCATGAAATTAAATGTTGAGTGCCCTCTCGGGCATTCTGTGATGACCGGCAAGGGATATCCAATCCAAAACGAGTAAAGCCATCAAGCATCCAAAAGGAAAGCTCTGGAGCCTTCAGTGCAATGGCGAGGTTGGACAGACACGTCCAGGTAATGTCTCAGCAGCGCCAAAAGAATCCCTTATCCAAACACCAAGAACTTTACCTTAAAAGGCTGTGTGGACGCCATCAGCTTCGTGTCCAGCAGCCTAGGAAAGTATCACAATAAATTTGGCAACGTGAATGCAGACATAAATAGACAGGAAGGAGAACAAGCAGGCAGCTGAGGGGGGGGGCTCATACTTACCTGGGGAAAACGCACATGGTGACCTCCTTGAAGTCAATCAACTCCTGAAACAACACAAGTCTCAATCCTGGCTCGCCATACAAATAGTGCTCCACTGCTGTAAGGCATCACCATTTCCATTCCAAAGGAAACTGCCCCCCCCCCATGCATTTCCAAGGCGGCACACTGCTAGACGCTGAGAGGGCAGCTTCTCACCTGAGGCAGGGGGCAGTAGAACTGGTGAATGGTGTGCATGACATCCAACAGCATGTTGTGCCCGATGACCAGTTTGCCCTGCAAGGGATACGCATCACCACTGCTAATCTGACAAGTTCTGCGCACCACAGAACCAGGACAATCACATTGGCTGAGACACTCCCAATCAGACCAAGGGACACACCAATGTATTCGTCAGAAATACAGCCATTGCTCTGGGGCAACTCATGTAATGCTTGATGTAGGGGTGCGAAATATGACGATACATTGTGAACAATTAAAATGTCTCCACGATCTTCCTTTAGAGATCTTTGTGTTGCAGTTCTATGGCTCATACACACATCTAAAAGGTATTCTGTCAGTCTAATCCATTTCAACACACCAACAACCCTACAACAAAAAGCCTTTGACTTCTTCCTCGCCCTCGACCCAAAATGCAACTCATTCCTTATTTGGAAATGTAGCGACATGGAGGAGCTGGTCCCTATGACATATTTAACATTGGTAATATGGAATTTGTTTGGATATTCCCAAACTGGCACAGCACACACAGTTATTTGCAAAACTTGCAAAGGTAAAGTCGGATGGTAACACAAGAAACCTTTTTGGTAACAAACCACCAAAAGAAAACATCTGAAAGAGTAAGCATAGTCTCTTCTCAGTTTTACCTTATAGGGCTATTTTTTTTTTTTTTTTTTTTAAATAGGGGAATTAGTTTGGTTTTAATGTTCAGTAATTTGACATGATATGACCATGATCCTGCCTGGAAGAGGGGTGGAGGGGTGAAAAAAAAAAAAAAAACCCAGGGATATTTTTTGCCATATTGCCCATACAACTTTAATGGACAGAAGACAGACACATTTAATAAACAAAAAAGAACCAAAAAAGTCCAGTTGGTTGGTTACCCAGGTCCCATCCCACAAGATACGAGTGTTATTCAAGCAAGTCACCCATTTGCCCCAAAAACCATATCATATTTTCAGATAGCTTTAAAAGCAAAAACGTCAACTTACAGATTTTGAAACGGCATGAATGACTCTGGAAAAGCCGACAGCATCATTGAGCTCCCCCTGCAAAGAGAAAACCCATTAGAGCCTCCATGAGCAGCAGAATTTAACACGATCGCTGCTCACCATACCACACGGCTCATTATGTTTCCGCAAGAGATAAAATCCGCATTTCTAATTTAGTCTCCGGCCATGAGAATCACAGCTGGCAGTTTCAGAGAGGCACAACTGTTTTTCTGGTTCCTAATGCTATGCTGATATTCAATGAAAATACCTGCCCAACCACAAAAAAGGAATTTGTAGGAATTGGGCATTAAGCCCTTATTTGACAAAAGGAGATCCTAACAGACAAGCCTTTACATACAAACAAGAAGTGGAAAAAAAGGCTGTGTTTTTCTACAAGGTGAACAACAGAAACCATTTTCCACCTGCTCTTTCTCCTGCTTCTCCTGCTCTCGCCTCTTTCTTTCGTCATCGTCCACCTTGCTGATCAGGATGTAGCGCTCCTTCTGAAACAGCCATGACAAAAGTTTTTGCAGCGCAGTGAAAATAAGACAGAAGATATGACAACTATCCCCTTCCATTCCGAGAGGGAGACGAAAGCCAATGCAAGTGAAACCAGCAGGATGAGGAACAGGAATAAGATCCAACAGCTCAATGTCATAGAAAAGAGTAAACAAGACAAACACTACAAAGATCACAAATAGAAGGAAAATGGACCACAGTTCTAGCCCCACACCATTCCACCCAAACTCAACATGTTTTCTTTTGAAGAAATGAGCCTTACTAGCATACCTTCTCATTTTCCAAAGTTTCCACATGAAGACCTTTAGGATACCTAATGAGGCACAAAAGTTATATGCAGCGCATCACACACACTACGTATGTAATGGAAAATACACCTCGTTACATTCTGATCTGAAGATCCTTTCCTACATAATACAAACTTTCAACATGAAAGTGTTTATTATGCAGTTAGAAAAGAGGCAAAGCAGAGAAGTATTTTCAAGACAGACTTACTTCCAGTTTAAGGTCTGGTAGATCAGCTTCCTCTGAAAGCTACAGGACAAAGCATTATTCAGAAATGCTGAGACACTTCAGGCAAATTAGTTAAAATAGAAAAGGCGGGTGGGGGGGCTCACCCTGTGCAAGGCTCCAGATGGATGCTTTTATCAGTACCCTTTACAAGACCCTCCACTTTCTCACTGTAAAGTTTATAGTAAAGCAACATTAAAAATGAAAAAACCCAATTGTGTCACCCAGCTATAACATGTTTGACATCAACAGTTGTTCACCAGCTTCAGGAACTTGGCCCACGGACACTGAATACAGGCAAGTAAACCCTGGTTGCTTACACTACTTTGTTGACAAAATCCTTCTGTTCATCTGGGACATTGATAGGCCCTTTACAGGAACTGGGAGAAATGAAGGACTGGGATCCGTTGGACTGAGAGCGCCGCTCCTCAAACTGCTCCCTCAGCTGACTCTCTTCCTCCTGATTCAGGTATGGAATTCCTATAAACAAAAAAATTTCATTTAAAACCAAAAACATGAAAAATGGCAACTGTGGGTAATCTGTAGCTCATTAGGATATGGATGCGTGTTACTATCCAGAAATATTCATGGCAGAATAATCATATCCCTGCAGGATCCTTGAGCATGCCCCTTACCCCCCACTGTTCTAGGGGTGCTGATGCTCACCGACCCTGCTCTCTAATCTAAAGTTCTCTCACTGGTGCAAATGTAAGACAATAAACCTTACCATTGCAAAACACTTTGTTGAAGTCAAATCCTTGATTGGCTAAAAAATCTATACTGGAACTCTGAAATGACAAAGAAAATTCTTCAACATCAAATTTGAAAACTGGCATACCATATGACAGGCAGGTCAGATGTAATTACCTGACAGACAAATTTGATGTCGGGGGAATTTCTGCTGAAAGGCTTTGGAAATATATAAAAGTTGAACGACTTGGTGAGATACCTAAGGACACAGGACAGATCAAAGACTCAGGACATATTTAGCAGAGAAATCAGAATCTTTAAAACAATTTAAGAAACACTCACTCAGACGCTGATTGGTCGTATTTAAACGTGCAGAGGCCAAACTGAAAAAGCAAGAAGTCCATGGAATGCTTCGTGAGGAGAAAAGGAAACAGTTAGGCGCAAACAAGCAGCGGAACACATACAGTAATAAAGATGTGTGAAAATTGGGAAACAACTCTGAGCAGTCTCACGTCACGATACCAAATTTATTTAACCCAAGCGTGATTTTTTTATTTTTTTATTTATTTATTTATATTATTTTAATTTTACCTTTTTCAGCTTCTGATAGCGTTCTTCTGGAGTATCCAAACCGTTCGTTAAAGAACTAACAGATGGTCCATCGCTTATACCTTAAAGGATGAGTATTTCAGTGAACTTGAAACGATGCACCAAAACATTGCAAACGATGCCATTCGACAATGGCTTGGCGTAACGGTAGCAACGAGCAGAAAATTTACCAGAAAATTCGCCGTCAATGGCGAGAAAATCGGCTTCTTCAATTGCGCTGTAAATGGCGTTTAAACTCTCTTTAAAATCTGTAATAAAATGTCAAATTACGATAGAAAAGACATATTGGCAGTGAAGTGCAAACACTGTCGTGCGTGACATTCCTGCATTCATGGAGCACACTAAAAGAAAATTTAAATTAATCAGGTGAAACATGTCCCGCACGTATAAAAATACACGCAACAGCTCGTCGGGCAGAAAAAGTTTTTTAAAAAAAATTGCTTACTCTTCCTCGTCACCTCCATCCCTGCAGACCTGCAAACAAAATACCGGCAGCTTCAGCAGCTCGGTTCGTCAGAAGCGCTTTAACCTTTTTGGAGGATCACTTCCGGAGCACGCTGACCGACCACGTGGTCTACGCTGAAAGCGAAAGCGGTCACCTGACAGCTTGGGTTGCCTGGGAAGCTGGCCGCTAACCACGAAAGAATGTACAGTGCAAATGGCGTAATACATTATGACTGATTTCTTGGGTACCTGCATTCAATCAGTATTTAATTAATTTAATCATATTTTTGCTCCATTTCCATAGAAAGGATTCCCACTTGGATTGTTTAAGTAAATTACCCAGTTGTAAAATAAGGCTTTGGGGTTTTAATGTTGGTAAATAGCTGATAATTAACTTAATTAATCAAACAAACCATAGAATATTTGTAGTGATGTAATATATATGGGAGCACATATTACATCCATCGTTTAAAAAATTAAACTACAATTTATATATGTCATGCATATACTTAACTAGATACATTCGAATTATGAATACAAGTTATTCTGTGAAATATATGTTATCATTCAGCAGTTCAATTTTTCAAAATGTTAGCTGCTGTTTCATACATGGATACAACATTCCTTCTCGGATATTTTGGGGGTAATGCATGGTAAGGTATAATTATACGATCATATAAAAAATAAAAAAGTAGACATTGTCATGAGTTCAGGTCTACTTTTGTTTTCAATTCTTTATAAACGAGACGGCTCCATCACTACATTCCACTGAGCTAATATTTGTTTTCTTAGACTCATTGCAGAATGCTATTACTGTAGGTGACTCAGCATGATTTCACAACAGGTATTGCTTTATTAAAAGAACGTAAACCTTACAAAAGCACGTACAATGTGCTGCATTGATAAGGACAGCAATTGCAGGCCTGATGTCTTTGTAAGTGTGCGTCAGGAGGGACTGAAATCTGATAGCTGTGCATGTGATAATGATCTGTGCCTGGCCTTTTTGTCTGTTTTTAATCTCTCCAATCACAGGTCTATGCTTTGTGCTGGTAATGTGTGCAGGGCCTGTTTACGAATGCAGATTTTGTTTCTGTGTGACAGGAAGGAATTTCAGGTAAATTACTGAATCTGCTCAGTCCAACCCAGTTTGTCTAATCATATTGTACCTTTACTGGTTTATCTGCTTAGGAATACAAAACTCATAGTGCATGCCTACAGGGCTGAGTTAGTAACAGTACGTGCCAATCAGAAGTTTGGACGCTCCAAACCGCCTACAAATGACAGTGAAAGTGTCACATCACATGACCTGGCCACCTCATGAATCTAGCGTAGAGGAGACAGTAGGGTCAACCAGCCTCTAGAGCAGTGTTTCTCAACCCAGTCCTCAGGGAACCCCCAGACAGTCCACGTTTTTGCTCCCTCCCAGCTCCCAGCCAATCAGGAACACCGAATAGCTGGTACAGGTCTGCTGGGAGCTGAGAGGAAGCAAAAACGTGGACTGGCTGGGGTTCCCTGAGGACTGGGTTGAGAAACACTGCTCTAGAGCAATTGGGCCTTGCTCAGGGGTCCAACAGTGACATCAGTCTGGTGACCCAGGGATATGAACCAGCAACCTTTTGAGTCCCAACCTACATAGATGCCCCCCAACAAATTAATTAACTTTTTCAGTCAGTGCATAATTCCATATACAGGTATGCCTCACTTAACGTCCATGTTACGTTCTGGGAAACTGCATGTTATGTGATTCGGATGTTGTGTGAACATGTACATAGCAAGGCTAAGGAATGCCATGATTATTTGTTTACATGGCACACATGTGCGTGACACACTCGCGTTGTGCGTGACGAGCACAGAAACACGTGTGTGATGCCCTTGCCTGTTCTGCACCTGGTTGCATCTGCTACGTCCCGTTGTTAGATCGCAATTTGTTAGATCATATCCTTATGGGCTACGGACATTAACGCAAGTGGACATTGTCCGGAGGGATGTTGTACGAGATGTTATTGTATAAGTTTAATGTCTTTACAATCATTTAAAATATGTGTAGGTGTATCCAGTGAAAATCACATGTCCAAATAATTTTAATTGGCTATTTAATGAGTCCTTTTAAAAAGAAGAGTGATAATGCATTGAATGAAGATGCTGAAGATGTTTTTTGTTTGTTTGTTTTACCTGCCTCAGTCTGTCAGTTTCTGTTCTCATAAGCCACCACCCAGGGTGAACGGGCTGGAACGTGCTCATTTATGGTGCTCAGTTTTAAAAAGGGACTATTCAGGATCAGAAGAATCAAATTTCGCCATTTTTTTCTTTTATCTTAAAGAAAGAGTCCTAACGTGTGCCAAGTGGATTTCTGTACTGCTGCACTTGAATGTTGCAGCCCTTCAGGGAGTACACACATTTTTTCTCAGGTGCCCTCACACCTAATTTAATGAAAGCAACCTTATCTAAATATTCTCATTACATTGATCTTGAATACAACTATTTACAGTAATTGATGAGTATCATTTATAATGTTACGTTAGAATCATTCAACAAAGCTTAATCTGCCTTATTTTAAATGATGTCATGATAATTCTATATTCAGAGAGATGCACACACTTCACAAAAAATGTTTGGGTGAATATTTCAGAATTTCTGTTGTTTAATTTGAAGTACAAATTTGCTTTCATCTTCCACGAGTTTCATCTGCAAACATGATATCCAGGCTACCATGAAGCTGACGTTCCAAGACGGATTGTTATTGTGTTAGTAATAATTACACGTTGGGTGGTCACACCCGCATAAAAAATCAGGCCACAAGGCATATTTGCGTATATATGGTGCTTTCTTCAAACAGTTGGCAGCTTCTCTGTCACAGCGGCAAAGGATTTTCTCACATCTGTCATTCAGATAATCTATAAGGAGAGAGGAAAACTGGGTGAAAATCTGTCTTGCCTCGCTGTGATGGTCTTACCACGAACTAAGTTCAGTATCTGGTTTAAATTTAGTTGTGGTGTAATGGTTGCTCCACACATTCAGTAATGCATTCAGTTACTGTGGTCAGTAGTGAAAGTAAATTCAGAAACTGGCTTACAAGCTGCTCTTTCTGGCTGCTACTTTACATAACCTCCCCATCTACTATTACAGGATCCCAGCCTTGACAACAAAACTACGCTAACTCTGTATCAGCTTATTTAACTCATGCAGTGCTTGAAGTGGGCCGGAACACAGTTCCGGAGCTTCTGTATTTTCGTCTTTTGGGTTCCGCCACTTTTTTCTGCGTTCCGGTACTTACTGAAACTGATCCGACCCAGCGACAGTGGCCCGAGAATAGACAATATCACAAGACCGATAAAAGACTACATGTTGTTTTAATGTTTTTTCAGTATTCCATTTGTGAATTAGAAAAAAGTAGCCTATGCCTATAGGTTATTGCTTGGAAGGATGATTAAATTAAAATAGTTTTTGAACCAACACATCCTAAGGACTTGATTTTTTTTTCACCGCACAAATGTCAAATGTCGGAAAATTAGAGTTCCTGCACTTAATTTTTCCCACTTCAAGCACCGAACTCATGACATTAGATTACTCACACTGCTGCAGTGTGCTACCTGTATTCACCTTCCATCTGTTCCCCATATTTTGTATCAATCTCCACTTACTCACAGCTCAAAAACTGACTAGTAAAATGTTCAGTTTCTGTGGTATTTTGTACGAGCAGTAAGTATTAAGTGAAATTGGTTTTTGAAAGATGTTTAGAAGATCCTTGCACAACACGTACCACAGTCTGCAACATTGTCGTCACACGTCCATTTATAAGTGTCAGTCTTGGTCTGACAGCCAGCGAATTCAGCTTGTTCGTAACAGCAATCATGTTTGTGACAACACCTGAATGAGGAACAGACACAATCTCCCTTTAGTACATTCGCTCACCGGGAACAATGCTTAGCTGGTTGCGATCCACAATTTTGAGATTTGGAATACAAAACGTAGGTCTTCCTCATTAATTAGGCTCAATACCAACTTTTATTTGGAGCAGGAATCGGAATGTGGTGGTTCAGCATCATTGAACAGGAGAGAAAAACATTTGGGGATAGAGTCATAAAAATCCATTTAATTACAGTCCACTGTGCCACAGAAATGACAGACACAGCATAGTAGTAATTTTGTCTCAGAGAAAAATCATGCCACACTAGTGCCTAACCTCAACTACACAGGGGCTGAGTGGCAGCAGATGAGGCAGCCACAGTAGACCTCAGCGGGGTTTAAATATAGATGGAGCCTGGTGGAACCCAGATTCACCTCCTCGTGTCCAAATCGCACCTTACCGGAGTGAAGCTTTTTTCGCAATGCCGCAACCTCTTTTCGTAATCTCGAAAATTTTTGTAAAACATTCAAAGTGAGAGGCTTAAAAAAGGCCAATATTGTGCTATAAGTCATGTTTATTATCAGCTTTAATGTTACTTTTCATTAGTAGCTTCATCTCTCGATTGGGTGAGATATTCCTTAACACCCTTGATTTATTTCGCTTTCTGTACTGCTGCCAAAACTTCACTTCCTAGCTAGTCTTTGCTAGAGGTAAGACATATATAGGAAACAATCTGTGAATAACATGATATTTTAATGCATTTTCATTGGGACATTACTCAATAATCAAGAATATTCTTATAGTGATGCATTTTTAAGTTTCATCAAAAGTGCAGATTTGGGTATGGACGGTAGGGTCATGTACCTACCGATATTGTGGGAGTACCGTGTGTGTTTAGGGGGGCGGGGGGTTCGAGGTTAGTCCCTACCAATGTTAGAAACATACCCATCCCCTTGAGTTACATTTACAGTTGCCCCTCCTAATTAGTGCATTTGACATTTGTGGTTTCAGTTATCTGCAAGCTGGCCGTGAGCAATTAAATGGAAATATTTTTGGAGTTTGCCAAAACATTGCAAAATCATATAATGTATAAATATTAGAGTGTTATATAATATTTGTTAATGTAAGTGTACACTATGATACGTACAATACTGACAAATAAAAATAACTGATTGCATTTTTGGTTTATTTTCTTTTACATTAAAGTGGTAACACCACATACCGACAAATGAACATACTGCATCTTCAAAATTGTGATCATAAATACATATGCTAACTGATGCACAGATGTATCATGATATCACTAATGTATCATTATGAATGTTTAAACACTGACTCTAATTCAATCTGCTGGGACTTTCACAGCCTCGTAATTAGATGGACCTGTCTATTTTGGGCTAAAAACAGGAATTCCAAAGTGGGACCAAGGATGTGGGAACGATGGGAGTGCCTGAATCCTGTTAAGTGGAACGTCAAAACCTCAGGAACCCGCACGCAAAATTAAACACTCCGCTCTACAAACCTATGCTATTGCACCCAGATTTTAGGTATATTTATATAGCTATAAATTTGTGGCCATGAAACTTAGGTTTCTATCCCGCAAAAGCACATAATTAGAAATAATAGCAATCATCATCAGGTGTCTATAAGTTATTGCTTGTCGTCGGCCCCCAGTGCCGCCTCACCAGTCCGCCCGGTCCCGGGGCCAGCCTTGGCCCCCCAGGCCACAATAGCAACCGTACATCATATAGGCCAGGGCAGACTTCCCCGTGCTGCACTTGATGACCCCAGCCAGCTCCAGCAAGCCTCTCTTACTCCGCTGGTACCTGCCCGGAGACAGGAAGGCCATGTGCACTGTAACAAAGATGTCAATAAGCATCACAAATGACCATTTATTGTAATGCTTTTTATAATGTTATTATAACACTATAATGCTATTATGATGTTATTGTCATGTTGTTATAATGTTTCCCCTAGGATTGCTGCTCTGTCTTCCCTCTGGTAAATGCTACAGGTTCATAAAAAATAACTCAACTCTCCAAATACCATTTTGCTTATTAATCATAAATTTAATTAACCTTGCAAAATAGAGCACCTTGCAATCACACGCTAATAACTGTTTCTTAGCTATGCAGCACGTAACTTCTTAAAGTAATATTGTACATAATGTACTGTATTGTATAGTTTACTGCATTGTACATTGTAAAGTATGATGTGTAGAATAGCTCTTACTGCATCATATATCCCGAGGTTAATATTTTTTGTATTGTCATAATATTTGTTCATTGTATTCTCCGTAAACAATTCACCACAGCAAATTCCTGAGACATGTGGTGTCACTGGATAATAAAGTCTGAGTCTTATTCTCCCAGTCCTCTGTTCATCTTAAAATGTACATTTGAGTTGAGTACACTGAACTACAGTGGTTAAACTCAAAGAAAATCAAGAGTGCTCTTAATGCATTATGCTTATGTTGCATGCAGCAATGAGAGTATTAGCTCCTGAGGAGGGACAGGTCAGATTCTATACTACAGTACATTGGAATGGCCAACGTCAGTCGCTGTTCAGTAGGTCTTACACCTTCTCCATCTGCAGGAGCCCCAAGGAGATGCCCACTCAAAGTCTCTGTAAATTACTGTTTCATTAGGGGTTCCGGTATGATAGATTTCTTCAGCGAATCCTCAGGTTCTTTTAGTTGAATAATGAGGCAGGTTCCTTAAGCTTAAGCAGTTTATTAAGACAGAATGAAGATGTTACAGAAAGATGTTTCACACGGCCGGTTCAGTGTCTGCGTCTGTTTCTGCCCCCCCTGAGGGACTCAGGCCCTTTATCTATGGTCTTCATACAGACTCCTGGAGCCGGGGGGGTCAGACGGCCTTGGTGAGAGCAAGTTGTATGAGAGGCAAAGAACATGGTGAGCGAGTAGCAAGGAGAGAAAGAAATATAAAAATACAATGTGTTACAGTGTGGTATGCCGGCTGCTCATCTGCAGACAGGAGAGCCCACCAGAGGGTTATTAACTCTGCCCAAAATGCCAATGGCTGCCCTCTGCCATCCCTGGGAGGCATCGCCAGCTCCTGCTGCCTCTCCAGAGCCTAAAACATTGTCAGAGACTCTGTCCATCCCACATACCACGTGTCTGACCTGCTGCCCTCTGGTAAGAGCTATAGGTCCATCGAAACACGGACTTCCAGACTCAAAGACAGCTTCTTGCCTTGGGCCATAAGATCACTAAACAACAGCAAAAATAAATCTGTGTACAATATGAGTCTTTGGTGATCAAAAACACAGTGTAACAATAAAAATATTTACTACCTGACTCCTATGGCTGGCTGTTACATAGGCATATATACATATAAGTATTTATTTTCAATTTTTTAAAATTATTTCTTTCTCTTTTCTCTATTCTATTCTATTCTATTCTATTTAAAAGTCACCGTCACAAAGTGCTCACCTGGTTGGTTAAAAGAAACCTTTGGTTTGGATTTGTACTTTTTGGACCTGAACTTTCCACCTCTGTCTGTAATGGATTACTTTCCTGAGAGACTTTCCCAAACACTGATTATTTGTGCCCCGTCAAGTAAAGTGTTACCGGCATTTCTACTAAGGATAATATTTCAGGGGAACTGTGGTTTATTACAGCCGCAAAACAACTTTCCTAAAACAGAACAATCTGTGTTTGCTTTGAAAAACACAGCTCTCATTAAGGATTGAGAATTTTGTGTGTTTGGATAGTGCAGTAATCTAAGCGAATGTCCGTCCAAGTTTACTACGCTTCTGAAACCATATTTTGGTCTTCTTGGTCGTAGACTGGTTTAATTAATGCAGTCGTCGCGTAGTCACATTTTGCAGAAGATTAAATTTATTAAGGAAGCGTTTAATACACATAAAACTCTGTTAGTCTGTAATATTGCAGCCGCAAAAATATATGCATTAGGCCTATTACCGTTGATTGGCGGATGTTTACAAAACAGGACAAATTTTCCGCTCTTATTATATAGTTTACGCACAAACTTATAATTATTGCAAACAAACGTAGCCCTATACGAGGCAGGCAAGTGAAGAGTGGAACAGAAAACACTCTTCTGTAAGCATATTAAATGATAAAAATGTAATAGAAAAAAATACAGGTTTCCGTTTGTATTTGAAAAGTATACGTTTTTAAATTAATATTTTGCGAGCTACTTACCAGACAATAACAGGAGCATGAAGTGCAGAGCGAGCATGCTTATTCTCCTCTGTGGAATTCACTCATGAATGATCCGATCCTACTTCCTACTCTGCAGAACAGAGGGACTTTGTTATTTATATGCTACGTCTTCAGAGCATCACATCCTATAAGCACTCCGGTTCCCTAAACATGTTATCCCTTACTTTAAATAGAGGGGGAAAGGGTTTGCAGTACATCCATCCAAATATATTGTACGGTTATATGGGATAGCCAGGGTGATGGTTATAATCCTGCCAATGTGATCAGCAGCCTTATGGAATGCTTTTAAAAGCAGATTATATGTCTATAAAAATACACTCGTGTTTTTAATTGTTCGGGGCAGAATATGCCATTAGAAACGGGCTTCCATACAATTGGCATTTCGATTGGTCTGTCTTTTTGTTCTTTTTTTTCTTTTAAGGAAAATGCTCTTGATAAGTACACTTTATCACTACCTGGCAACAGAGGTGTAAAGAGTACCTGAAAACCATACTTGAGTAAGAGTACAGATACCTTACTGTATAAATTACTCCATTACAAGTTACAAGTCACCAATTCCAATAAGACTTGAGTAAAAGTCGTAAAGTATCCAATTTTAAAAGAACTTAAGTATTTTACTCGTACTGAATGTAGGCTCAAAGAACACCAAGAAATGTGGAA